AAATATGAAGGGGAATAAAACACAAAAGTAATTCTGTGATGGGTCCTTTCCTCAGGGTCACTGATCTTCCTTTTGGCTCACTGAACGTCTCTAAGGGAGGGTGACCATGTCCCTCTGTGGCACTGCCTGGCCCCAGTGACGAAGCTCTTGACAGCAGAGGCAGGGCGAGGAGAGCAGTGTATATTCCTTCTTCAGCCCTTGTAGTTCAGCCCTATCCCCCCCGAATTAATCCTACTCTCAGTGAAAACTGAGCCATCAGAGATTTGCATTTTGATGGTTTCCCTCTACCTAAGATTCTCTTTAATATGTGAAGAAAACATTTAGCTGACTGTTTTTTTACTACCATCATAGGTAGTGACCAACTCTTGTTCACATTTTTCTAGCCTAAACAAAAATGTTGTTACTGCTCATGTCCAAGAGCATTCTAGGAGAGTGTAAGTCTGGTATGGTCTGAGTTAGGGGAAACGGGAGTCACTGCTTATGCATCTTTTTGTAGGCCTTACTAATCTTTTCTCTTACTCTGCACAGCATAACTAAATTCAAATTGGCTGAATATGCTAAAGAATCTTTTTATGTACCTTAGCTGATGCAGTTTTTATTAGTAGGAACAGCAAAAAAGTGTCTTTCTAATTTATGGATAAATAAAATCCCTCCTACTAATAGGCTGTGATTCCAGGAGGGTAGGACAGTAAAAGTCGGAAGAGCACACCTGCAAATCAGGTTGTTAGCAGGCTTGCAGAAAAAGAAATGGATGTGTATAATAAGCATAAAATATATTGTAATTAAGTCATACAGGGTCAGACTCATCCTTGCTGTAATTCCGCTGCAGTTAGTGGAGTTATGAGAGAGAGTAGTTCAATGTTTAGCTTTTAGAATCTTGCTTTTTAAAATTGTAGTCTATCTGACCTTCCTTTTTGGCTCACTTTGATAGGTGCTCACATACCATGATAACACATGAATATGTAGAAATACATAGATTGTTGCAGTGACAGAAGGCAGAGCAGGGACTCTTTCCGGCATTAACATCTGCCTTCTCTAAAATAAATAAAAGCTTTAAAGAGGCTCTTCTTCTACCAGACAGTGTTACAAGAAACAAAAATAATGTAGTGATCATCCCTGACTTTGGATCTATTCATGTAACAAACAATTAATAGACAAATAGTCTATGGATAGGCTATAAAAAAAAAACAACAAACAAACAAACAAAAAAAACCAGCAGCGACAATGAGAATTGTTGCAATCTGACATGCGAGAAAGATCCTCCTTTAAAAGACTTTGCACTTATCCAGTACAATCAAGAGAACACCTACCTGTCTGCTTATGTATTCTGCTGGGAGAGGTCTGAAAGCACCTTAAACTTTGTTATTTCCTTGAGACAACCTTTTTTGATTTTTTTTTTTTTTACAAACTGTAAATCATTTTCCCTTTACTTTTTTTTATTAAAAAAAACCTTATCCTGAGTATACAAAACAATATTTGACTTGTATAGTACAAGAATATGGAGTTAATGGTCCGAATGTCCAGTTTTGCAGTCTAAGTTGGCACACTTCACTCTTTCTGCAAAATACATTTAAGTAAAGAACTACAACAACAAAAACCCAGACTTGTGTGAAACAGAAGCTCCCCCCCTGCCCTCCCCATTCTACCTAACAGGTAGAACGAACTGCTTTATGAAGTGTTTGTCTGAAAGTGTAAAGAAAGCTCTTGGCAACTTTGAGGTATCCTCTGCTTTCCGAGCTGGGCTTCCACTTCACACTGACAAACCCTGTGGCTGACAGTTGTGCCGGAGGGAATTCTGCAGATCTGCTTGGAAACGCCTCAGTAAGGCACCGCAGGTGGGCAAGCTGCCTGGCTAATGCAACGCTAGCAATCTCTGGTGCTTTTTATCGTGTGCATAAAACCAAATTATCAGCTGTTTCTAAACAGACATTGCTTATATCAACTGTGACTAGAATTTGTAATTATCACACTTGAATTAATCACTGTCACAAATGTGACAAATATTGCTGAGTCAAGGGCTTCTTTGGAAGTTGCTGAGGAAACAAAACAAAGAGAGGGAAAGGGTTTGTTTTGTTAATTTGCATATCAATCCTGAAAAAGATTGCTCTTACAAAGCTGCACTGCGTCTCCTTCCTGGAAGTCTGCCTCACATGTTGAGAAAAAGAAAACAAACTATTTTGCTAGAGATTACTGTATATTAATTGATTATTATAAATAAGGACAGTGAAGATAACATCCGATAAGGAACAGAGTGGTGTTTTCAAAACCAGCAGGTGATTTAGCCATGTGTCTTCCATTAAAATTAATATCTCTCCAGAAAATGCTGTAGTCCTTATTTTCTTTTTCTTTTATTTTTCTCCTGCACAAGTAATAAACTGACTTGGAAAAGTGGTAATGGATCAAGCTCTGTTCTGGTTTCTTTCCTTTCTTAAACTATCTACCAGGCTGCTAGACTGTGCTGCGCCAGTCTGACAGTAATTTTGTGTATCCCGTTATAAAATGTGCAGTACTGCTCTATAGCACTGTAAGCTCTCTAAGAAAACCAAGTCATTAGAAACGAGCCATTTTGGAGGTAGACACTGAATAGGAGAGAACACTGATCGATTAACACATACGTATTGTCCACCCCAGATTACTGAAATGGCTTTTCTGAATAACTTTTGGCTGGGTCAAATAGTCATTGCCTGGCCACAAATCATGCATACCAAATTTGAAGATGAAAAGGGCTTTATAGAGGATTGTAAGGTGTGGGCCAAAACTGGATTTATTTTGGAAAGTAGGTTCCAGCTTTAACTACTGAGTACCCTCTACTGCTTCAAGATTTGCCCACAATTTTAAAAAAATTGCTTATTTTGGCAATATAATTTAGTAGTTTCTACTAAAAACCTTAGTGGTTTCTATTAAAAAACTTAGTGGTTTCTGTCCAAAAACCTTGAGTTGGAAGGCCTGTTTTGTGTCAGGATAGATTTTGAGCTCTGTGTATTACTTTGTGTGCATCAATAATTATTTTATTCTTATAATACCATTTAGCCAAGGATCTCAAAATACCCAATTAAAACTAAGTAAAATTGGGTGAGGCATTTTGTGGCTATAGGCTGAGGGGGTACTCTAAGGCCTTGGTGATAATGCTTCTAGAATAATTATGCTCACATTCATTAAATATTTATTAGCAATGATAAATAGTGGTATATTTAAAATCCTGCTGTACAGCAGAAGAAATGTTAAGTAGTCACTCTTAGAAAAGCCTTTCCTACTAGTTAAGCATACCCAAAAAGATGTCTCTCTTCTTTGATCCAAGATCTGAATTTATTGCTTAATTTATAAAAAGAAGTAGACAAACCAATTTTCCCAAAGAGTGTTAGCGTGCCTTCTTCCATGCCTGAACAGAGGTATAATTATGCCACATTCATTAAATATTTATTAGCAATGATAAATAGTGGTATATTTAAAATCCTGCTGTACAGCAGAAGAAATGTTAAGTAGTCACTCCTAGAAAAGCCTTTCCTACTAGTTAAGCATACCCAAAAAGATGTCTCTCTTCTTTGATCCAAGATCTGAATTTATTGCTTAATTTATAAAAAGAAGTAGACAAACCAATTTTCCCAAAGAGTGTTAGCGTGCCTTCTTCCATGCCTGAACAGAGGTAATTCTCATTTTATAATATTTGTTCAGTACTCGGAAACATTTACGAAGAAGACAGGCGTGGGAATGCCTGCAGCTGGAAGAGTGTGTAATAACAAGCCCCGAATGCTGATGTACAACATGACAGAGAGAAAGGGATCGCTGTAGGCATAACCATCGCTTCTGAGCTGGAATATGGGTAATGATGTGGAGAGTGTGGTCAACTGAGGAAGGCTTTGATTCTTGTAGGTAGGAGACTGGGTGAGAATATGTGCCTGTATGAGAAGCTGTAGGTAGGGTTTTTTTCAGAAATTTTAGATTCCCCCACCACCCCCCACCTTTTTTTTTCCCCTTTCTGTGCCACTGAAGTCAAGTCTTTATAGCACACTGCTGGGGGAGGAATCCGATTTTTGTTAATCCTCTCTCATCATATTCACAACAGCTAGTTTTGCATGGCACTTACTGCCATAGTCCCAGCTGTGTAAGGTGGATTCATTTAATCAGGTTATTTATTTTTCTGTGCCATACTCTAAATAGGTAGAAGTTGCCATAGTCTACCTGCAAGGGATACCATCATCTCTTCCTGTCTCCTCATAGTTTATTAGTTAAAGGCATTTTGTTAAATGCTTTGTTAAAGGCATTTTGTTATGTGTTCTCTGTTTAGAAATTAACTTTCTGCTCAGGCCAATGTAGCAATCATCACGTCATTGGTTTTTCAAAATGGGAGAGATTTAGCCAGATCTCTTTGGCTGTAGAAATTAAACTGTATGCAAACGGGAGATAAATTCAATGGTAATGCAAACTGCCTGTATCTTCTGATCTGCAATTGTGTCGTATTTACGCTGATCATGCTGTATTGCAAATTGTGATTTATGAATTGGTAATGCACAAATGCGTGTACCTTTACAGATAAATACATCATCTTTCCTCATAAGTTGGAACTGGATTTGAAATAAAAGCTTCTCAGAATAAGAACATTTCCTGATATTCAGTAGTTGTTTGGCTTCAGTCCTTTGGTTTGGATTCATACAGAAATAAAGTCTCATTGCAAATCTTGAATTCATACTGACCTAATGTGAGGGCAAGGGAATAATATTTGTTCAGAACTATAGTTTTAAGCAGTGTTACCCCATGTGTGTTGAACAATGTGGGGCTGATCTCCAGTATATATATGTGTGTTTATAAATAAATAAACAAACAAATAGGTGTATGTCAGCTGTTCTCTACAGGGAACCCAGATTTCATGAACTGTAGATTACTTCATTTGACCACAGAAGGATTCCCTGAATGATTGCATAGTATTGGAGAAGATTTTATCTTGTAAATATTGGAATATTTATATGAATAGTAAAACTTTTCCCATTCTGTTTTTATTAAAGGAAAACCACTGCAGAAGAATAAAAATCCTAGGGGACTGTTACTACTGTGTATCAGGATTGACCCAGCCCAAAACAGATCATGCCCATTGCTGTGTTGAAATGGGACTGGATATGATTGACACCATCACGTAAGTACTGTGCACAGTGAACCCAGACAGGAGTGCTGCAACTTCTATATGGCATTCAGGAAGTTTGTTCTCAGAAAAACAGCAGTGTCTGCTAGCAGTGCCCACCTAGCAATTCACACTGTTGCATTCAGGTCACAGGATACTAATTTTAGGAGGGGTCATTCTAGACATCGATTTTCCACTCCATTTAATCGCTGTAAGGAAAAATTGCATGAGTATGTAGAGGCACATACACGGACTGATCAGGGGACAGAAAGATACTGGGAAAGAACAAAATATTCCTATGGCTATTTGCCACAAAGAAAGGAGTCCAATTTCTTGTTTTACAGGGATAAACACTGCTCATTTTGCACACCAGTATGTAAACTCAAAGCCAGTCCTGATGTATGCATGTTGTATATGTGTTTATATTCTCAAAATGATAGCTTGCTGATTTCTCCTTTCTGTATGTCATGTTTAAACCTTTAATTTATTCTGCTTTTCAGAAATGTAATGTGAAATTCACTTTGCTGATCAGAAGAATTTTTTTATGCTTGAGAGCTCTGCATTGATCATTATATTACCAAGGTGAAAAATGTGAATGTGAGAGAATTGTGAATGAGCTTTTAGCGAGAGCTGAAGATCTACTTCATTACATAGGAGGGAAGAGATAAAGATGGGAAATTTCTTCACTACTGTATTGCTCTGTGTGTGTGTGTGCGCGCGCGCATGTGTTTTATAGGGAGGCTACAGGAGGGAGTGCACACCTGTGTTAATTCTATATATAAATAAATACTGGTCAGCACAGTGGTATTACATTTGGAACGAGCTTGCACAAGTGTGTCACGTCAGGGGCCTTAGCCTCTTCTGTACTGGAAAGTGTTTGGCCACTGTTTCCAGTAGCCAGTTATTCTTTCTCTCTGTTGTCAGCTGGGCTGTTGGGAATATGGAGTTGACTCAAGGTTCTGCTTCCCCTCACTTAATCCCCAAGTTTTTGCGTTGTACGCTGTCGTGGTTTAACCTCAGTCAACAACTGAGCACCACGCAGCCGCTCACTCACTCCCCCCCACCCGGTGGGATGGGGGAGAGAATTGGAAGAGCACAAGTGAGAAAAACTCGTGGGTTGAGATAAAAACAGTTTAATAATTGAAATAAAATGATAATAATAATAATATGATA